CCCTCGCGCCTAGCAACGGCGGGGCGGCCGGTCTCGCGAGAGTTGGCGTGAGGGCGGAGAGGGGCGGGGCTGGCGGCCATGGCGGACGGGGCGGGTAGCAACGGGGACGCCGCGGGGCTGCCGGTGGGCAAGGAGGCAGGTGAGGAGCCGCGGCGGGAGGCGGTAGGAGGCGAAAGGAGAAGCGGCCGGGGCCCTGTGAGGTGAAGCGGGGGGAGCGGTGCGGCCTGGACGTTGACTTCCCCCGGTTGTATATATTTGTGTGTGTGTGTGTCCCCTCAGTGGACCGGCTGATCCGGGAGAACGGTCACATCTTCACCGAGGCCCAGTGCAAGGTGTGCAGCGCCCTGCTCATCTCCGAGTCCCAGAGGCTGGCACACTACCAGGTAGGGGAGCGGGGGGAGCTGCCGCCACCGTCGCCACTGCTGCCAGGCCCCGTCGCCGTTACCTCAGGGGGCTGAGCAGCCGGTGGGGGTGTCTCTCTCTGCTTTCTCCCAGAGCAAGAAGCACGCCAACAAGGTGAGGCGGTACCTGTCCATCCACGGGGGAGAGGAGCTGGCCCACGGGAAGAAGATGAAGCTGGACGCCAAGCAGGTAGAGCCCCTCAGGCCTAAATAGTGCTGAATGGGGGCCAGCTGGGCTAAAGGGTCTATACGGCCCGGGCACCTGTATGAATAGATGAAGAAAACACCCTCAGAAAGGGTGTTGTGATAACGGAGGAGCTCGGTGGCAGGTGTGGCGCCAGGCCTTGTCTCAGCGAGCGCAGTTCTTGCTGCCCTTCCCATTTAAACAGCGTCTGTGACTGTTTTCTGACATTTAAATGAATATATGTTGCCTCTTATTGATAGACTTGCTTGAAGGGACAGGGAAAAATGAATAAGAGTGATAGCTTGTCAAGACTGTCATTGTATAAGCTTTACTGCCACAGGAGAGCACGTTGGGTTGACCGTCTACTGGAATTCTCTTTCTAGAGGAATCCTTTTTTTTTTACTTATTTAGGTTTTCTCACCAGTAGCTGGAGCCTGTTGGTCAGTAAAGGCACCACGTTCCGCTCGGCCATCTGTCTGCCCTGTGACTCATTTGGGAAACAGATTCTACTTTTATGATTGCTTCAGCTTTAATCCCTAACTCTCCAACATTTGCGGCTGGGGGGGTGGTGGGGGATAAAGGCGGATGCCTTCACGCATAGTGTCAGGCTTAGAAGTGACTGCTGCTGCCTGCTCCGCTGGCATCGTGTTGCAGATGACCCAGCTGATAGTGATGTTTGTGTTGTTCAGTTCGCACCTTGCAGAGTAAAAGGCTGCCTGCTCCAGTTCTGGCAGCCACAGGCTAAACCTTGTCCTTAACCCATACAGGCTGGGGCTGTCCCTCTGCCTGGAATGGTTCACTAATGGGTTAAAAAAAAGTAATTTGATGCAAGAACACTTTTCAGTGAAGGAGAAGATGATGCTGCATCGTGAAAGTCCTACTTAGTCACACCTCTTCAACTTAACACCCGAATGTCTCTGAATACCTTGTTTTCTTAAACTCCCAAGCCTTAGTGTTTCTTCTTGCAGTGAGAAGGTTGGACGAGGTGACCTGCAGAGGTCCCTGCCAGCCTCAGCCACTTTGTGATGCTGTGTACACAGGACAGCAAGCAGGAAGGCAGCAACGGGGAAGACAGAAACAAGTGTTGTCCCATCTGCAACATGACCTTTTCCTCTCCGGCTGTGGCAACATCTCACTACTTGGGCAAGACTCATGCCAAGAACATGAAGCAGCAATCCACCAAAGTGGAAGGTATGACTGTCTGCAGCGTATGTGTGTTGTACTGAGGGACTGTTCGAGCTAAAAAAAAAAGTTTAGAGATGTCATTTGACCTCAACTGTAAGCTCTTGTGAGGATGTGCATACTCTTTACTGTGAAACGGTCAGCCAGCAGTGCCCCTCCAGGGACATGGCCTCTCTCAGCAGCCAGGGCTGGTGTTGGCAAAAAGTTGCATGTTCTTTTGGTTTGCTTTGTCTGGGAGAAATGCAGCTTGCAGCAGCGTTGTCCCCTCCCTGTGTTCAGGGACCACGAGAGAGCTGCTTCTCAGGCAGCATGATGATAAGCTGTAGAGGTACCTGTCACGGGATATGATGCTCACTAAAAGCTTACAGGGACTGGAGTGACTGGTGAAATTCCAAAACCCCTGATTGGTCAGGATTGCCTAGCTATGAAGATGTAGCCTCTGAGCTTCAGGGACCTGTGAGCTGCAGCTGGCTGGGGACTGAGAGAGTACAGCTGGGGACCATCGGCATGTGCTTGTCCTGACCGTGTGCTTTTCCCATGGCACCTGCCATTGACTGTTCTCACGGTGAGATACAGTCCAGGCAGACCTCAGGTCTGTGTGTCCCATCACTTCGCTAGCAGACACAGAGGACGAGTGGGTGGAGAGGGAGACCCTCCATCCAGGACGGGCAGGGGCAGCCGAGAGCCTGGAGTGCAGTAGCCGGTTGTGACAGAGGGAAAACACAGCCTCTGGGTGCAGCTGAGGATGGCAGCTCATGCTGGCTCCAACCTGGGATCTTCCAGGCAGAAACTTTCTGTCCTGGGGTGTCTTCATGGCTTTGCTAGGTTGTGTCTGCACAGCAAAGCCACCTTGGGGGTTAGGATGGCCTGTGGGATCTTTTTGTCCTTTGAAGCCCTTGCTTTTGGGTATGAGAAGAGCCTTCAGGAAGGGGTGGATGTCCCCATGAGCAGTCTGCTGAGTAGCTTTCGTTTCAGCGTGAGAGGATCTCTCTAGTCCTTAGAAGGTTCCACGCTCTGGTCTTTGGTACCCCGTAATGAGAGCGTGCAGGTTTCTGGCTTGTACTCACATTCTGGCTGCTCTTTGTTTTTCTGGGTGATGATAGCAGCAGGTGGAAGCTCCTTCATGTCCAGTGTTTACTGAATACAGCTATGCTTATGTTAACTCCACTAAGGAGAAGTATACAAATCTGTTGGGTTCAGTTTTTTAACCCTGGAAGTTTTTCTGACCTACTCTGTCTTGTCTTACCACATGCCTTTAAATTCTGCAGCATTAAGGGAAAAGGTAGAAGCAACGTGAATTTATCTAGATTCTTACATTCTTTTTCTAAGTTTATGTTTTATGGTGGGTTTTGGTTATTTTAATGCAGATTTTGGGGAAATAAAGTGAATGTTTTTTACCTTTGAGTTCTGTAACTGACCAAGAGTCTGGATTCACCCTACAGAAGCAGTGCCCCAACAGAAACATCCTGCTGCCCTCCCCACCTCTACTGTGTCTTCTAACGAAGAGAACAAGGACATTACTGACCCAGACAAGTTCTGTAGCCTCTGCCACGCCACTTTCAACAACCCCCTGATGGCAAAACAGCATTATGTAGGCAAGAAGCACAGAAAGCAGGAGACCAAACACAAGCTGATGGCACACTATGGCCGAACCCCTGATGCACCGGCGTCGTCCTTCATGGGTGAGTTCTCGGCAGGCGGGCTAATAAATAGCTGAAGAGCAGGGTGGGAGAGCCACAGTGTGTGCCTGACAGGTCTTCGGACGAGAAAGTCCGTGCAGAGGGAGCAGAAGAGAACGGCTCGTGATGAGGATCTTGATTATATGCTGTAAAATTGATTTGGTTGATGTTGTAACCCCCTGGCAGCAAGAAAGGTTTTAGACTGTAGCTACTCGTGACAAGCTTTGGGTTGTGTTTTGCAATGTTGTCTAATCGGGGGACGTGTCCTTTTTATTCTCCTGTGCGGATAATCCAGGGATTTTGGCCAGTACTGTTTCTAGCTAGGTGGATTGCATCCAAAATGGAAAGATAAAAGTGTCATTTGATGCTTAAAAAACGTCTTTGGAGGGGACTAGCCAAAGATGGAAGAAATAGGTTTAACTGCACCTGCTGCTTCAAAGCACATGAAAGCCAGAGAGATTTTTCCCTGAATGCCTTTCTGCCTCTGTGTGGGCACTTCCATCTGATGAACTAATGCAACTCTCTCTGGAGCAAGCAGGAATGTGGGGGAAAAAAAAAAAAGCTATTAAGGAGGAACTTTAGGCAGACAGTTAAAACTCATTTGGTTTATGATCTGCTGCTTATGAGCACTTCTAAGTGATGAAAGCCCTTGGAGTCCAGTGAAAGCATGAGGAGCTCACAGTAAACTCCCTTGTTCCTCCCAGCAGCCTTCTGTTGGACCAGGAAGTCTAGTACCTGCTGGATGCTTGAGGTAAATAATAAGCAGACAAATCATCTTAAAATCTTCTTCCAACGGCTTCTTTCTCTATCATAAAAACCCACACAAGCAGAAGATTAATTATTCTAATTCTTTGCAGGCCACCTTTAGATACCGGTAGCACTTAAGAGAAATGAGGCTCAATTATCCAAGTAATATTCTCTCCCACATTGCGTAGTCGTGTGGGAGATGGAAAAGGTGCTCGGTATCTAGTGTTACCCATCTGCTCTTTACTTAATTAGTGGAGCCTGATGAATAGTTCCACTTCAGTGTGACTCAGGCGCTGACAGTGGCAGGAGCCCCAGCCCGGGCAGGCTGGGTGGGTGGGCAGTGCCCCTGCCTGTGTGAGTGATGCCTCCTGTGAAATGCTGGCAGAACCCAAGTGCCTACGGACACATCTCCATGGCACTTCAGCTGTTTTGGAGCCTGGGCTGTAATCAAGGCTGCTTGGGTGTGATGGGTTGCGATCAGGGATGTTTTCTCCTGCTCTCTCTGCCTGTCTCTGTGTGCTAGCAGCCATGCCTGTCCCTAAAGTTCTCTCTGCTGGGATCTGGCTGGCAGCAGGTAAAGATGTGTTCTTCAAACAGCAACACCAGGGTGTTGGTCTGCTTTAAGTTCCTCTAGGAACCACCAGTTTGGGGTGCACTTGGACAACTTTGGACAACTTCATGCATGCACCTCTTTGCCAGATTGGCAACAGAGAGATCTTGATCATAGTCATGCAGGGAGGCAGATCCTCTGGCCTTTCCCGCCCGGATCCAGCTCTGTTTTAAGAGCTGAAGGTCCCACTAGAGTCTGAAATCTCTCTGAGGTGCAGCACCCAGGTGGGGAAACATTTGCTACATCATGGGTTGTGTTCTCACTCGGTGATTACACTGCTCTGCACCACTGGGGTGAGTCTCCTCTTTAACCTTAAGGAAATGATTTCTTCATGAAACTCCCGGGCTGAGCCCTTCCCTATTGAGCCAAAATTCGGGAGCACCTAATGTCTTGAGGACAACTGCCAGGATTTTGCCATTAAACTCCTGTGCTGAGCTGTGCTGCCATGCTTGCCTGTTTGGTATCTGTGACCTCCCAAACTCTTATTCCAGCTGGAGATGTCACGTTACACAAACCATTGATCTGTCTAGTGCAACTGTTGTTGGAAACTTCTTATTTTTTTGCAGCTGACTGATATGCTGACTGTAACCAAACTGCTTGAGGATGGAGCTTAATATTCTCAGTTGGCACCTCAGCGATGCTTAGCGGAATGCTGCATTGTGGAACTGGACATTGTGTGTAATCTCCTCTGGCTGCTTTTTTTATTGAAACACTTAAAACTTACAAATTACTGCCCTCATTTTCTGTTATGAGATGTACAGATCAGGAGAAGTGGGAATTTGGGAGAGAAATGGAGTTGCAAAGGCAATATAGCATCAGGTCTGGTGTCCTAATGCGGAGACTTTTACTATGTCTGATATTGTGAACTGTTTATAGGAAATGTGTCTTTGTTTTTATAGATAAACAAATCCAGGAAAGCTTTTCTGGCTTAGCGATTCCCTTGCAGTGACTGGCCCATACGTGGTGGGGTAGTGGGATTCTGCGACCTCCCCGTCTGGTCACGCTATTGACTTGCTATTTGTCTTTGTTTACCGGTTGTTTAACACGTCAAGTGATTGATTATCTCACTTGTTTCTACCTCAGGCACCAAGTTGTTGGCTAGCTGTGTGTGCTAACATTGATGTCTGTTTCAGCCGGGAAGGGGTACCCCTGCAGCACATGTAACATAGTTCTGAACTCCATAGAGCAGTACCAAGCTCACATCAGTGGCTTCAAACACAAGAATCAGTAAGTAACGTTCTTGTCTAAGTGTATTTCCAGCCTTGCTGCTCAAATCGATGGCTTAAATATAATTTAAAAGGTAGTTTTGAATGCGTAGATCCAGCCGACTTGCCAGCGGAACGACAGGGTTAGTGCAGGCTTATTCTGTTTGTCCTGAAGCCGTCTGGCTTCGGCAGCTCCCTCTGCAGACAGCTCTGGGACGCTGCCGAACTGGAAGTCCAGGCCCTGAAGTTGCTTTTGGTTCTTGATGGTTCAGCTCGGTGCAGACCTTCGCAGTGAGCGCGTCCAGCCTGACACCCATTAAACACCGTTTCTCTAACAACTCAGATTTTAATTAAAGACCGGCTCAGTAGAGATCTGCTTGCCGTTCTAATCTCTCTTGGGATTGCTTGTCTTAAAATTTGGCATGTAGTCAGCATGCTCTAGAAACCTAGGCTATATTCCTGAACTCACTCTCACAGCTGGTCAGTTAAATAATGGCATCCCCTGCATATATTATTAATCTGAAAAAAATGAGGCTGCCAGATGATGAATACCAAAAATACTTGTTCTGGACACTGTCAAAGTTCAGATCTCTGATTTCAAAGCCTTTTCTAAAAAAGACTCAGTAATGAGCCTAGTTCGTTAGAGAGCTTCTTACAAGAAAGAGGCGTTAAGAAGTCCTACATGAAGTGAGGACAGACTCGTAGCCAAATTTCCCAGAGAGGACAGGAAGAAAACTGGGATCTCTTGTTGCCTGTCTGTGGAATAACAGCCCCATGGTCCCTTGGCTCTCTGGAGTACTTGATTGGAAGACACATGCTGCATCCTTCATCCCAGCTCAGTTTTGGCTATTGAATGGCACAGCCAGATCAGTGAATAGCAAGATTCCATTCAATATGGATAACACTGAGGATGTTCCCAACACACAGGCATAAATGTTCTCTGTAAGGACATGGATGGTGTCCGAGTTTTTGCAGCCACACAACTCTGTTTCAGAAAGCTGCTTCTGAATTCAGCCATTGAGTCCTGTTCCAGGCCAGCTTCTGCAGTCTGATGAGAGCCAGGATACTTGCTTTGTAATGGAAGCTCTGTAACAGCCCTCGAGCTGTGCAGCAGCTAATTCTGCCATGCTAAAGGTGTCTGTTTACACACACGCACAGAGGGCAAGGATGCACTTGGAAGCTTTTCTGGCAGGTTGTTGACTTGGCTGCAGTAGGCTGTTGCTCCACTGACAGCCATGCCTGCTGAGCAGTGATTGCAGCTGGCAGATTTCACAGCACTTCTGACATTGTCTCCTTTTTTTTTTTTTTTTTTCCCTTTTTTTCCTCTTTACAGCCATGCCTGCTGAGCAGTGATTGCAGCTGGCAGATTTCACAGCACTTCTGACATTGTCTCCTTTTTTTTTTTTTTTTTTCCCTTCTCTTCCTCTTGTTCCCTTCGATATCCAGGATGCCAGGAGCAGTGCCGGTTGTTGGACCGTTCCCGCCACAGCAATATGTCCGGGAAGAGTCAACTGCCCCAGGAGGCTACAGTTATTTCAGCCAAGACTTCTAGAGCAAGTTGCAGCACTGTTCTTGGAGTTGTTGGTGGCCCAAGAACGCACATCCTTTGCCAGCCCACAATGGTTTCATTATCCCTCTGGATAAGCAAAGCCCTACCCTCCTGTATGCACCCGTTGAGCAGAACGGGGACTGAATCTGTCAGAAAAAGGATCCAGCTGGAAAAGACTTGCTAGACAGCAAATACTTCACTCCCTTAGAGTAGTTTTCATTGTGTAATTGCTTCCTGTGAAGGTGGGTGCGGTGTGAGAGGAAGTGTGTATCTGGTATAAGGAGGGTTTGGCGACAGGCTGGTTGGTAGTGGCCACCTCCTCCCTCACCAGAGCAAATAATGGATTCGTGCACCTGGAGGGCCACCATCCCACGCTCAGAGGTGGCTTTTGCTGGAGGAGAACGCCTAGACCATAGCAAGCAGTGCTCATGCAGTGTGGATGGGACACGGGTGTGGGTTGCCTGGCTTTGTGCAGGCTTAAAATAGGGAATAACCAGCATGGCTTGTCTTTCCACGTCTCCTCCAGTCGGGTTTGTGTGCGGAGTTTCATGAGCCACTGGTTGCCGTTAGAGCTTTTGGCCGTATCGCAGCCTTTGGTGCCGGAGCTGGGTTGTTTGGGTCTGTCTAATGAGTAGTTACAGCTTCTGGTGTGCAAAGTGCTGCTGGGGGGAGTGGAGGGCTGTGAGAGGGGTTGGAGCTCCCGGCTCTCCAGACGGCTCAGCCCTCTGCTCCGAGGATTTCCACGTGGAAGGAAGTAACTGTTTAGCCTGGTTTCCTATGGAAACAGGTGTACGTGATCATTCACCGTGTGTGTCTTTACCCCTTGTGACTTAAATCAATCTCAGCCAAACTTGGCAGCAGTGGAGATCTCCAGGATCTGAATGCAATCAGCAGAGGAAGGTAGAGCAGGGTGAGTTCGTCGCTAATTCTGTCGGGATCTGCATGGAAGTGCAGCATTTTCCCTACTGCCACCAAAATACTGTGGGGAAGGAGGGTTTTAAGGCAAAAGAGAGGGAATAAATCTAGATACAGCAGAAAACTGGAGTATAACTTGGTCAAATAGTTAGCTAACTAAAAAGCTACAAACCCTCTGCAAACCTGCCTTTGTTAGTCCTTCATTAGAACACTACTTGCCCAACCCCTCTCTTCAAAGTTCTTACACGTTTGTACTCTCCTGGAAAAGGGATGTTGTATATTTCAAACCTGGAAGTTAAGACTGATGTTTTTTTTCATGGTGCTAATGTACTAGATCTGTTAGGAAAGGCCCCGGAAGGAAGGGCAGGCATCTGAGGCTGTTGTGCTTTTTGGATGAGTTCTTTAGATGTTTTGCCTTAAGCGAAGGCATGGCCCGTTCTCTGCTGTCCCACCACAAGAGCCATGTGCGTTGGGCTGGCCTCATGCTCCGAGTCAGGCACCCCGCGGCTTTCTCCCAGCGTCAGTGCCTCCGAGGAGCTGAGGCTTTGCTGGTCCGTGGCCAACATCCTGCTGTTCCTCTTCCACGGGGCAGAAGGATGCGGATGTGGCCCCTCCGAGGACTTCCTTGGCTGGTGGGGTTCCGTGGGGCTGGCAGGAACATGGGTGACAGCCGTGGGCATGTGGCGCTGGCAGGGTGGGCTGAGTCGAGCTGCTGCCTCCCGTTGCGTGTCCCCAGCAGCTGCTGGAGGGCGGTTTGGGGCTGTTGGCTCCCAGCGCCGTGTGCCAGGGGAGCAGCTGGGGCCTGCGCGGGGCTCGGAGCCGGGCCGTAGAGGCACTTCCAAAATCCGGTGTGTGCGCTGGTCAGGGTGAGCAAGGAGGGAGAGGCGGTTGCTGATCTCAGTGCTTGGAGTGAGTGCCTTCCCTTCCCTGCTCCAGGCTGTGCATGAGCTTTGTGGTTGTTTTTTTTTTCACCCTGCGCAGAATCTGCCCTCTTCCCTTAGGACAGGCTCCCGCTGGTCTGGGTTCGCCTTCCTAATGTTTTCTGGTCTTGCTCCACTGCTGAGGTCTGACCTTAGTCTCCTGCTACAGAGGAAGCCCTTTTAAAACCTCGGGAGCTGATCAACGAGCAGAAAATTGCGATGGACTGAAGGAAGCATTGTGCGCCTGGTAGCCCTGGATGGCCTCCAACTCCGATCTCTGCTGCTTAGCCCTGGTCCCGCTGTCCCAGGGCAGGTGCCTGCTAGATGTGCTGTGCATCGACACCAAGAGGGATCCATTTCCAGCGCTGCCCAGTCCGGTGTGTCACTCCTCTCTGTGTACTGACAGTTTTGCCTTCCCTTGTACACAGTGTTTATGTATCTGCTGTTTCCCTAAGGTGAAGCTCTCCAAATAGAGTGTTTATTACTACTGTTGGGTGCTGTCTCTCTGCTAGAGCCCTTCCTGGGATTCTGCCATGCTTCAATGTAGAGGCACTTCCAAAATCCGGTGTGTGCGCTGGTCAGGGTGAGCAAGGAGGGAGAGGCGGTTGCTGATCTCAGTGCTTGGAGTGAGTGCCTTCCCTTCCCTGCTCCAGGCTGTGCATGAGCTTTGTGGTTGGTTTTTTTTTCACCCTGCGCAGAATCTGCCCTCTTCCCTTAGGACAGGCTCCCGCTGGTCTGGGTTCGCCTTCCTAATGTTTTCCGGTCTTGCTCCACTGCTGAGGTCTGACCTTAGTCTCCTGCTACAGAGGAAGCCCTTTTAAAACCTCGGGAGCTGATCAACGAGCAGAAAATTGCGATGGACTGAAGGAAGCATTGTGCGCCTGGTAGCCCTGGATGGCCTCCAACTCCGATCTCTGCTGCTTAGCCCTGGTCCCGCTGTCCCAGGGCAGGTGCCTGCTAGATGTGCTGTGCATCGACACCAAGAGGGATCCATTTCCAGCGCTGCCCAGTCCGGTGTGTCACTCCTCTCTGTGTACTGACAGTTTTGCCTTCCCTTGTACACAGTGTTTATGTATCTGCTGTTTCCCTAAGGTGAAGCTCTCCAAATAGAGTGTTTATTACTACTGTTGGGTGCTGTCTCTCTGCTAGAGCCCTTCCTGGGATTCTGCCATACTTCAAAGCGAAGAACAGGATGCAGACACCTTGGAAATATTTGGGAGGGGCGGGAGGCTGGTGTGTTCCCATCTGCCCTCCTCGAGGCCTTGCTCTCATCCCGTGGCACCCCGAGGTCCAGACGAAGCTGGTAAGTGCCACCTTCTGTGCTGGTGTGGTGAGTCAGCGTGGCCTTGGGCACACTGCAGTCACCAAGGGGCAGACGGGACAGTCTGGGCAGGGAGACTGCTGGCACTTCTGCAGGCTGCTGTGTACCCTGTGCCCAAAACATCCGTGACTGCCGCAGGATGCTGGGCTGTTGCCTGGCTCTGCTGTGGCAGCTCAGGAGTGTTGTGGTGGCAAGTGTCCTCTGCTGCCGTGTTCCCCTGAGGGCAGCTCGCTTGGCTCAGGTGCCCAGCAACGGCTGTCCTGCTCCTCCATGGCCAGGGCTGTGGCAGAGGAGCGGTGTCCCCGGGAGCGGTGCAGCGCCTTGTGCTGGCACCAAAAGTGGCACTGCCATCGGCCACGTGGGCAGTGCTGGGAGGGACAGGCTGCAGCCACCTCCTGTGGTGCCAGGGCAGCGTGCCTGCCACTGCCAGCCTGTCCCTCGCTGACCCTGTCCCCTCTCTGTGGCAGGGCTGTGGCGTGTCTGGCAGCTCCCAGCCCTTCCGTGGGTGCAAGTGCTCCCCGGGGCAGGGGAGGAGATGGCAGCCGTGGGGCTACCTGTACCCCTGGCATGTCCCCTTCCCCAGCAGCCATGCTGGGACAGCCACACTGGGGGCTGCAGTGCCCACGGCAGGTCCCCGCTGGCCCCATCCCCACACTCCAAGCACAGTCCAGGTGGGTGTCAAAATCACTGGTGTCCCCGCTCTGCTGGCTGCCTGTCCTGCTGGTCAACTGCTTTCTGGGGCCCCCAGCACCCGTGGGGTGCAACATGGGGGGAGCTGGAGCCTGGCTGTGGGGCCAGAGCCTCCCACATGCCGGAGGAGGCTGAGGATGGAGCATGGCCCCTGTCCCCAGGCTGTGCCCCGGTGCCCGTGTGTTGCCAGCCCGGTGTCCCTGCCCGGTCTGGCTTCCTCCCTGCCAGGGCCTCAGCGGGCAGCCCCTCGCCAGGCCGGGGCCGTGGCTGCCTGTGCCGGGCCGAGCCCCAGCGCCTTCCGGGCTGGCAGCCGCCGCGCAGGGCACAGAGCCACCCGCCAGCCACGTCCCCCACGGAAGCGCCGCCGTCCCCTGCCCATGCCGCAGCCAGCTCCGCGGAGCCTGCCTGGTATGAGGGGCCGGCGGCTGCTCTGGCAGCGCGTGGGGCTGGGCCCCGGGTCCCCCCCCTCAGCCGGGGGGCAGCGCAGTCCCGGCCGCAGCCCCAACCGCTGCCATCCCTTGTGGCCCCGCTGGCTCCAGCGAGTAAATCGGGTGCAGATGTGGAGGCAGAGCCGGGCGCCTGCTTGCGATTAGGGGCCAGGAGCATTGGGGTGGCCCCGTTCCTGCCTTACAGCCCCTTGCCACCGCCTCACCGTTCCACAGAGGAGCCCCCAATGCCCATGGCGGGCACAGGGCTGTCGGGCAAAGCTCCTGCTTGCTTGGCCCCAGCCCGGGCATGTGCCATGTCCCCAAGAACATGGAGCAGTGTCTATCCTGGCCCCATGCACCCTGTTCCCCGTGCCAGCTGCAGCCCCAGTGCTTCCCGGGATGGGCAGGGGCAGCAGGGAGGAGACACGGTGCAGGCATGGCACTGCCCCTCTGTGCTGCCATGCCAGCCCCAGCACCACGAGCTCTTGGCTCAGCCCTCGGCACCCAAATCTGTGGGTGCTCCTGTGCCATGCTGGGGGCTTGGCCGAAGCCTGGGGCCATGGTGTCCCCCATCCTGCAGCCCCCACGCCGGGCCCCATGTTAGCTCCCCGGAGGGAGCAGCAGGTTCATGTTTGCCATGTTCTGCCTGGTTAAACCTTAACCGGGCTGGGTTGCTCCATCGGTCCCTCCCTGCCGGAGATAAGGATGGGTTGGCGGGACCGGGCCCTGGCAGAGAGCGCTGCTCTCACCTCCGCTGCAGGGCCTGGGCCCTGTGGAGCAGGCTGCCTGTCCCTCCGGCTTGGCCCCTGCCCGCCTCGGCAGGTCCCCATGGACACGGGGGCAGCAGATGGTGGCTGGGGCTGGAGCTGCCACGTGTTGAGGCCGGTGGGGCTGGATGGAGCTGGGGCAGCTCAGGACCCCTGTGCTCTGGGGCTGACACTCTCCCTCAGTGCAGGGGGGTTTGCATCGCCCCAGCACATGGCATGAGCTTGCTGGGCCTCAGCCCCTGGGCCCCCTATGTATACGGGGTACAGGGAGCTGGGGAGCCTGTGCCCCAAACAACAGCCGTTCAGGGGAGGCCAAGAGAAACTTCCAGGAGGAAAAGAGCCCCCCGGGCTCCGGCCCCCCCAGGAGCCACCATGCCGCGCACACTCACGCTGGCCGCAGGTGCCACCGCAGCGGGAGCGGCGGCGAGCGCTGGGGCCAGGCACAAGGGGCGGTTGTGTTCCCGCAGCCCCGGCTGCCTTCCAAGAGCAATATTGTTGGCACCAGGCAGGCTCCCTGCGCCGGCAGCACATACACGGGCCTTTCATGAGGGGAGCGGGGATGATTTACTGCCTGGGGGAAGGGGCAGGGGCGGGAGGATGGAGCCCTGGTGTGCTGGCCCCGGCACCCAGCCCCTCGTGCGTGCTCACTGCCGCAGGGCCCTGCGCCTGTGAGGCCGAGGGTCTGGTTGGGGGGTCACCCCTACCTCAGTCAGGCATGGGGCAGAGCGCGTCCCCCTGCACCGTGCCTGTCCCCTCACTGCCCCATCTGTGGGGATGCACTCCCTCCCTGGGCACCCCGCTGCATCCGAGTGGCTGGTGGCCAGGGGACATGTCCCTCATGGTGCTGTGGCTGATGGGCGCAGCCCAGGGGGCTGGGAGGGGGACAGGGGCAGCAAAGGAGGGTGCTGGGGCAGGGGGCACTGGCACAATCCCCCCCTTGTTGAGCCGCTGGTGTGGTGGAGGCCGTGGCAGCGCTGCTGGCAGCGGGCGGTGGGGCTGCGCTGCCGTGAAGGGCTTTTTGTTCGCCATCAGTTGCTGTTATAAATCACGCCAGGCAGCTCGACCCCCAGCCCAGCGCTGCCCCACAGCAGGGAGGGGACCAGCTCCCAGCCGGCCCCACTGTGCCCCAGTCTGCGCCCAGCATCGCCCACACCTGGCAAGGATGCTTGGTGTGACACGGGGTGAGGTGCCACCACCAGTCACCTTGCTCTGCTCCCACCCGGCACTGTCCCCAGCAGTGGGGGACCAGGCTGGGATATGGGGGTGGGTCTCTCCGTGCCCACCCTGGGCTGCAGCTCCCATGGGCTCCACCAAGTCCCAGCTCTCCCCCAGCGTTCCCGGCGCTGGGAATGACCTTTTCTCTCTGGTTTTAATTTGGTTTTGGTTCGAATTGAGCTGAACCCAACATTTTTCCGTGCTTCCGGCAGGCTGCGAGCTCTGCAGGGGCGGCTGCTGCTCCGTGAAATTGATGTTCTCGTCTGCTTCACGCGCCGGCAGGAATGAACAGCTGCTGGGGGCTGCTGGCCCCAGGGACCGCTCCGAGTGCCCCTGCGCCCCGGGGGGGGGACAGCGGCACCCCAGGTGGGGAGCGGCACGGGGTGGAAAATGGTAGCACCAAGCAGTGAAACCGCATTGTGCTGGAATTGGCTGGTTTAGCACGCCGGAGCAGCAGGGACAAAGCTGAGCCCTGGCCTTTGCCAGCGTGGGGTGACAGTGACAGCCACATCCTGTTCGCACAACCCCGGGGGTCCGGGCTGAGCGTGGGCAAGGCTGCTGGAGAGCAGAAAGATGGGAAAGCAGCCAGTGGGAGAGCAGCGAGGGAGAGCAGGTCTGGGGCCAGATCCTGACCACGTGCCGAGGGTCCCTCCTGTCCCCTCGCGCTGGCAGCAGGATGCTCAGGGGAAGACGTGCCTGGGGACCGTGACTGCCCAGAGGGTCCGAGGCCAGTTTTCCTCTGGTGCCCAAGAGTCCTACATGGGCAGGTGGGCAGTGGGGCCTGGGCACATTGAGCTCTGCCCACCCCGGTGAGGGCAGCAGCTCGGAGAAAGCGAAGGGGAAGTGTTTATGGGTCGGATTAGGGCCACTCCAACCCTGGCTCGCGGCCTCGTGGTGTTTTACGACGCTCCGTTATGGGCTCCTAATGAGGGTCACAGCCGCTTTATGGCACCGGCAGCGATAACGCTGCAACTAATTGCGGCGCAATTAGCGAACGGGCTGCCGGGCACCCAGCAACCCGCAGGGCCCAGCCCCGTGCCCCATGGCCACCCGCCGGGGTGGGTACG